AGGATGGTCTCGATCTCCTGACCTCGTGATCCGCCCGTCTCGGCCTCCCAAAGTGCTGGGATTACAGGCTTGAGCCACCGCGCCCGGCCTAGTTTTTTGTATTTTTAGTAGAGATGGGGTTTCACCATGTTGGCCAGGCTGGTCTTGAACTCCTGATCTCAAGTGATTCACCTGCCTCGGCCTCCCAAAGTGCTGGGATTACAGGCATGAGCCACCGTGCCTGGCATTATTTTTATTTATTTAATTAATTTTTTGAGACCGAGTCTCACTCTGTCACCCAGGCTGGAGTGCAGTGGTGCGATCTGCACTCACTGCAACCTCCACCTCCTGGGTCCAAGTCATTCTCCTGCCTCAGCCTCCCAAGTAGCTGGGACTACAAGTATGCACTACCACACCCGGCTAATTTTTTTGTACTTTTAGTAGAGACGGGGTTTCACCATGTTGGTCAGGCTGGTCTCAAACTCCTGATCTCAAATGATCCGCCCGCCTTAGTCTCCCAAAGTGCTGGGATTACAGGCGTCATCCACCGTGCCTGGCCACAACTGATTTTTCTGTGCTGATTTTGTATTCTACATCTTTACTGAATTAGGGTGCCAAGAATAAACAATGGGGAAAGGATAGTCTCGTCAATAAGTGGTTTTGGGCTGGACAAGGTGGCTCATGCCTATAATCCCAGCACTTCGAGAGGCTGAGGCCGGAGGATCGCTCAAGCCCAGGAGTTCAAGACCAGACCAGGCAACACAGTGAGACCTCGTCTCTATTAAAAATAAAAAAATTAACTAGGTGTGGTGGTGTGCATTTGTGATCCCAGCTACTTAGGAGGCTGAGGCAGGAAGATTGCTCGAGCTCAGGAAGTCAAGGCTGCTGTGAGTTGTGATGGCACCACTGCACTCCAGCCTGGGTGACAGAGCAAGACATTGTCTCAAAAAAAAGTAAAAAAAATTTAGCTGGGTATGTTGGCACACACCTGTGCACTAGTGCACACCTGTGGTCCCAGCTACTCCAGAGGCTGAGGTGGGAAGATCACTTGAGCTCAGGCATTCAAGGCTGCAGTGAGCTGTGTTCATGCCTCTTAAAAAAAAAAAAAAAATCAGGAGTATATATAATTTATTTTATTTATTTATTTATTTATTTTGAGATGGAGTCTTGCTCTGTTGCCCAGGCTGGAGTGTAGTGGCGTGATCTCCACTCACTGCAAGCTCCGCCTCCCAGGTTCACACCATTCTCCTGCCTCAGCCTCCCGAGTAGCTGGGACTACAGGCACCCGCCACTACGCCCGCCTAATTTTTTGTATTTTCAGTAGAGACGAGGTTTCATCGTGTTAGCCAGGATGGTCTCGATCTCCTGACCTCATGATTCGACCGCCTCAGCCTCCCAAAGTGCTGGGATTACAGGTGTGAGCCACCGCACCCAGCCAAAAATATTTTTAAAGGAGACATAACTACAGATTCAATTTTAAATTTTTTTTTGAGAGATAGGGTTTCACTCTGTTACCCAGGCTGGAGTGCAGTGGTGTGATCACGACTGCAGCTTCAACCTCCTGGGCTCAAGCAATCCTCCTGAGTTAGCCTCCCAAGTAGCTGGGACTACAGGCACGTGCCACCACACCTGGCTAATTTTCTTGATTTTCTTTTTCTTTTTTTTTTTTGAAGTAGAGTCTCACTCTGTTGCCTGGGCTGGAGTGCAGTGGTACGATCTCGGCTCACTGCAACCTCCGCCTCCCAGGTTCAAGGGATTCTCCTGTCTCAGCCTCCTGAGTAGCTGGGATCACAGGCGCATGCCACCACGCTCGGCTAATTTTTTGTATTTTTATTGGCCAGCCTAGTCTAGAACTCCTGACCTTAGGTGATCTGCGCACCTTGGCCTCCCAAAGTGCTGAGGTTACATGCGTGAGCCACTGCGCCCGGCTGAACATAATTTCATCTCCACAACACCCTGAAATCCCATTAAAGTGAGAATACAGAATTATAAAAGATATGGACCCAGAAAGATGTAAAGCTTGGTTAGCTGAATGGAGAAATTGTGAAACCTAAACACATGCACAAGGGGAAGCCAACAGGACACAAGCCAATTTGTTCTGCAGAAACCCAGAAAAGCTCAGGAACTGAAGGCATCAACATTACCAGTATTTCACATTATCTGCAACAACCGTAATGTGCTAAGAAAATATCTATTATTTCCATCAGTCAAAATCACAAGTACTGATAATACTGGTATGGTGTGTTGCCTACATTCGTTATAGAAGGAAATGCTAAATTTCAGTTAATGGTTAGTAAAAATAGAAATGTAGTTTTTTCCATCCAAGTTCACATGTTAAACATATGCTCAACTTCTTTCTTTTTTTGAGAGAGAGAGAGAGTCTTGTTCTGTTGTCCAGGCTGGAGTGCAGTGGTGCAACCTTGGCTCACTGCAACCTCTGCCTCCCAAGCTCAAAGTGCTGGGATTACAGGCATGAGCCACCATGCCCAGCCCATATGCACAACTTCTGACCCAGCAATTCTACCTTTAGGTATATATCCAACAGAAATGCACACATGGAGAAGCATGCACAAGAATGTACATAGCAATATTATATATTAGTCCAAAATTAGAAACAACCAAAATGGTCAAAAATGGTAGAATGACATCCAGTAAACAGGGGAATCCAAGAAAGGCAAAGTGAATTCCCAGGACAACACCTGTGTAGCAGGCCGATCAAGCAAGCAATTGAGGAGTAGGAGGGGAGGTGGCAGGAGGAAAAAGATGCCTCCAAACAGAACAATAAATTAATAAATTACCTGATACATCTGACCTTATAGAGTAGGGTTTTACATCTCTGGAGGAGTATTTATTTATTTATGTATTTATGTATGTATGTATGTATGTATTTATTGAAATGAGGTCTTCCTATGCTGCCCAGGCTGGATTCAAACTCCTGGGCTCACGGGAAACTCCCACCTCAGCCTCTCAAGTAGTTGGGACTACAGGTGCACATCACCACCACGTCCACTTCTTTGGAGGAGTTTGATGGAGTAAATCATAATAGGTAAAAGGAAACAAATCAATAAAACAAATAAAATAACCAAAGTAATTATTAACTCCAGGAGAAAAAAAAATGTCATATAAGAAGAAAGCATAAAGGCCGGGTGCAGTGGCTCATGCCTGTAATCCCAGCACTTTGGGAGGCCAAGGTGGGTGGATCTCTTGAGCCAAGGAGTTCAAGACCAGCCAGGGCAACATGGCTAGACCTCATCTCCACAAAAAATATTTTTAAAAATTAGCCAGGCAGGGTGTCACACACTTGTAGTCCCAGCTACTCAGGAGGCTAAGGTGGGAGAATCTCTTGAGCCCAGAAAATCAAGGCTGCAGTGAGCCATGATTGCCTGCACTCCATCCTGGGCAACAAAGCAAGACACTGTGTCAAAAAAAAAAAAAGGCCGGGCGCGGTGGCTCAAGCCTGTAATCCCAGCACTTTGGGAGGCCGAGATGGGCGAATCACGAGGTCAGGAGATCGAGACCATCCTGGCTAACACGGTGAAACCCCGTTTCTACTAAAAAATACCAAAAACTAGCCGGGTGAGGTGGCGGGCGCCTGTAGTCCCAGCTACTCGGGAGGCTGAGGCAGGAGAATGGCGTAAATCCGGGAGGCAGAGCTTGCAGTGAGCTGAGATCTGGCCACTGCACTCTAG